CCGGATAATCGATTTAATAAATTTGGGGGGGAGTTTTAAAATTAAGTTCGAATGCCAAAACATGCTCATCGCCCTTCTACCGCCCAAAACATGCCCACCGCCCCACTACCGCCCAAAACAAGTTCACCGCCCCTTAGCATCCTCCCACCGCCCCCCGGGGGCGGTACCGCCCCCATTGAGAACCAATGCTTTAAACTGTTCCTGACCTATGTACCTGATCAGCTTGACTTTAAGACAGTTGAAGAAAATCCTGACTGGATTAAGACTCTCTGGAACAGATTGCAAAGAATTCAGTCCAGACAGCAGGCTACCACATTCTCTAATTGGACTATTCTCCTGCTGCTGTGCTCTCTCATCTACCTCAGAGAAGGCACTACCAATCATTTTCCTTCCTGTGGGCAGGTCTTCCTGAACATATACACATTTAGGGTTGTGTTTGTCTTTCTCTCCCTCTCTGTGAAACTGTTGAGGGAGGTGAACTATTAGTCTGGGATCCAATATCAACAGTATTCTGATGATATCCAAATGTGTATTTCTACTCTGGGCCACCCAGATGATGCTGTTAATGTTCTGGATGGGGAAGAACAGGCTTGGGTTCAGTCCTGACAAGACTAATGGCTGGGGGCTTTCCACCTTCAGGTTCAGATGGTGTGCTCCCTGTTACAGCTCCTGCCCTCTGGAACAGCATCCCCCCCCCCCGAGATCCACGTGGCTCCCACCCTGATGACATTCAGAGAGTCATTGAAAAACTGGCTCTTCTTGGGGAAGGTGGTTGCTGAGCTGCTACAGATTGTTATTATGTCTGGGTATGATCTGTACCTCTCTTTTTATTGTTCCTTGGTTTTTACATGCAACCCAACCAGAGCTGTTGGGAGTTGGGGAGTCTAGATCACACACACACATTTGAATTTACATATACAAAGTTAAAACATCAAAATGCAAATATGTGGAGGCACCAGAACCAGTTTAAAAATAAACATTCCTTTCTTACTGCTTTGTCTTTTAGAGCTACCTTTACCATGAATGCTGCAGTAGCACAACAGTGACAAAAACCTTGTAAATAGAGATTTATTGGGCTCATACCCAGCAGATGCATTTCTAATTATTATTTTTCTTTGTCTGAAATTAGTAGCTAGCTAATTTCTCCTGCATTTTTCTTCTTTAAATACAACCAACAGTGTATTATTTCACTGATTTTCTGGGTTTTATTCCCTCTCCCAAAGAGCCCATATTGCTCAGGCTGATCTTGAAATAAATGAAATCAGAATGACAGGTTAAAATGACAACACTCCTCTTCTTAATCTCTCTCTTTTTGGGATGACTATTAAGGAACAGGTATCGTGTGGGAAAGCCACACAGCTGACAGTTGCTTCAAGTACTGTACAGAAGTGTTTGTGTGAGGTTCACTTTTGGCCGTATTTAGAGATATATAGAGATATGGGGTAGCTGAGACATATACAAGAAAAGTTATGAGACTAAATTCATGAGAGAACAGAAGTCATTTTTACTTCTTTTTAAATGAAAACGTGACAATAAGAATCATGAGGACTCCAAGAAAGTAAAATAATGAAATAATGCATAGCATTGCTAATAGCAAGCCTTGATACCACACACCAGTTAATAGATTTTTAAGCCTTAAATTCTAAGTTCATTCCACATCAATACAAAAATAACGATCTCACCCACATTAGAGCCCAGCTAGGGGGAGTGGTGTTGCAGATGTTACATGCCTTCATTTTTGTGACCCCTTTTCCTTCTTTTTTATAATTGTTTCAAAGGGAGTTTCTTCTCTCCTCACAAGATCTGCAAGCAGAGATTAATAAGGAAGGCAACTTCAAAGGGTCTTCCTGGAAGAGGCCACTTGAGATCCTGGCTGGCTTTCCAACTAAGACCACACATCCTGGGTTGTTATCTAAGCATGGTTGCTGCTAGACTTCTGACTAAGTCAGTGTGCTGGGTTTTCATACCTTTCTTATCAGAGAGCTCCACAGGAGTGTGCCTGCTTTCCATGAACACCAGCTGGTGCTTTAGAAAATGGCCGAGGAGTTTTCTTTTTGACAACTGACAAGAAAATCAGAGAGGAGTTTATCTCTATCACTATCTCTATCTAGTGGATAGCTCCATTTAGCCTTGGGGAAATTTGATAATTCACCTTAGATTGTAAAAAAGAGGGCCCATTTTCTAGATACCAAACTGACTGTGCCCTACAACACTTCACCATATAAAGGGATTGGACGCTACTGAAGACATACATTTCAACTGACATCCAGGATCTGGTGTGAGACAACAGTACTGCTGACACAAATGGAAGCAGTGACCAGAATGTTATTAGATACTCTACCTATGCCAAAATACAGAGATTCAATTCAGTGGTGACTCAGTCAGATTAATGACCACTAAATTGATTAGATGATTTAGATATTTCTGAATATGTACAAAAATAGCTTTTCCCAAAATGATTCAGTTCAACAATTTGGGCATCCAAACTGAATTGGATCAGCTTTTTGAGTAACTTGAGGTTTGTTTGGTTTTTTTGGACTGTTTTCACAACAGTAGTCATTCATACTTTTGTATATTGTGACCTTGTAAATTGTCTCCTTTCTTTTCCTCATCCGTTGACAGACTTGGCAGCCTAGATTAACATTTACAGTATTTAATTTATTTCCTGATTCCAGCAATTGGCTTCAATTCAGCCCCTTTGAATCTATGATTGCTGTAGTCTGTAGATCACATGACTCATCATAAGTTTCTGTGATAAAATTTAAAAAGCACATCGTTGATTCTATATTATTGCTAGCATATGTTCTTGGCAATAAAGATTTTCTGGAAAAAATTGCAATTGAAAAACCAGAAGTCTTTTTGATGCTGTAAAAAGTAATTTCATATACATGTAGGCCTAAGTACTTTTTTTTTTTTCAGTTTTTGCTGTAATTTTTGTTGCAAATGCCAACAAAATTAAACAATCACTGTGTCTTCCTTTCTGCCCTCCCCTGCTTTGACCACCTTTCCAAATGTCCTTTGCCTGTTCAGATATCTGTAACTGTAACTCTATCTGGTTTCAGGCTGTGGAAGTGCTTGCTCTCTCCTAAGCCACCAATATTCCTCTGGGGGCTCTTCTGAAGGCTGGAGTTTTCTTTACTGCTGCTGCAATGGTGGTAGTTCCTTCCTGCCAGGCTGGGCTCCTAACATGGATGTTGCTGCTGCTGCTGCTGCTGCCGCTGCCATCATCTGAAGTTCAAGGTAAGCGATGTGGGCTCTTGGGAGCTTGCCTTTAGTTTCTAAAAGAAAAGGGACTGAGGCTCAGTCTGGCCTGGAAGACCTGGCTCCCAAAAGCCTAACTGTTTTCTGAAAGGCTTCCTCAAGCCACAGTCCCCATTTCTCTTAAAGCTCAATGGGGGAGTGTGGACAGAATGCCCCCCCCCTTTTTTTTTTTACTTTGCTTCACTTTGTGCCTACCAGAGGTCTTTTGGAGGGCAAGGCTAACATTGCTTGGGGCTTCATCCATTGTCTCTGTTCTTAATTCCTTCCAGTGCGGGCTGTTTTAAGGTTGTGCTCTCTTACGCTAAAGGGGTATTATGTTTCTTTGCTGGTCCTGCCAATATAATTGGGAACTCAGCGCTCAGCATTTTGAAGATGGGCCCCAAGCTGACCTGTCTAGAGCAGAATCATGGGCCAGACTTGACTTCTGAATGCAGTAGGAAGTCTTCTGAGGGTCGGCAAAGGGGGGTCAGGCTAATGCAGGCGGTGGCCTAAATATTTATTGCTTCTAAGAAGAGGGGGTGGCAATGCAACTCCTTTCTCATGGGCCTGCATATTCCCTGTGGCACTATATCTCATTCTGCCTGCCTACTTCTACTTCTACTTCTACTTCTACTTGTTAATAACTAACATAGAGTATTCGCAATAAGCCACAGATCTGATACAATGAAGTCCTACTGGGATGACGTTCAGCTTTAGTGCTAATAGCCACAGCTCCTGAATCATCTTCTAAAGCATCTCTGCTCTATTAAGCGCACCCTGTTCTATTAAGTCCAATTCTTGAAGATTCAGGTATGGGGTAACCAGTGTCTGATCCAGCTACTGCAAAGAAGGCTGTGCATGTGGCGGTACCATCAGTCATTACTCAGGGTTTGCTCATCTAGTGGCCTGCAGACACACACACACACACACACACACACACACACAGAGATTACACTTGACAGTGGCCCGAACAAATTACAGATTGAGGATGACATGTGGTGGGGTCCACCCAGTGGTGTGCTGGACAATTAAGAGCCAAATCTGCTGGTTCCGTTGTCACTGCCACGCCATACCATTAGCTGTGGAACAGCTGATTGGCAGGCTAGGTATGGGGCTCAGCTCTCCTCTCAGCTGGCTCGCAAAATTCCTGAAAACTTAACAATCAACTCTCATGAGCTGATACCAGCTCTCCAGCACACCACTGGGTCCACCTCTGCAATAGTCTCATTCTAGTAATACTGCTGGCCAGCTCACCTGTCTGAAACAATGGGAACCATTCTATATAATACAGAGGCTTTTAAACATACCTTGCTTTGGATAAAACACCATGTTTTATAAATTCAAATATCATGTGCTGAAGGATGATTACATAAATCTACCGTTTACTTTTATTTTTGCCACCTCCTTATAATGGTTATTTTATGTTACTTTATGTTATTTATGTTATTTTATTTTACTCATTCATTCAATTTATATAGCTGACCATCTCATATATGTGACTCTGGGTGGCTTACAAAGTTAAAAATACAAAAACAGTACAAAAAATAATCAAACAACCTCTATATAATCACAAAAACATTAAAACAATAAAAACTATTAAAAATTATACAAATATAATCAGTGGGAGAGTGCAGGCAAATAACAATATAGCCATTTTATAGGCTCCACACCACCACTATCCAGTCTCCAGTTAGACAGCAAAGCCATGTTTTCTGGCCCCTTTGGAAGGCCAACAGGTTGGTGCCAATCTGAGCTTGGGGGAATGTTGTTCCAAATGGTAGGTGCCATAGCAGAAAAGGCTCTTTTCCTTGGTCCCATCAGATTTTTGGACCCATCACGCAGAAACACAGTTCCCTTGAGAACACCATCATGCTTGGAAAATTGATGAAAAAAGAGGAAGAGGACAGTCAGGTGGACAGATTTGACCACAACAGCAATCAGTGCTCCATTCTGAGACTTAAAAGGCCAAACTGAAAACAGATCATTCTGGAGAGAATCTAACCATGTAGTTGCTTAGAGCTGACATCACTTTCATAGCTCCTAATCAATCATTGATAAATCATGACTTAACTGATGTATTTTTTTCTTTAAAAAAAATCATAGTTACTACTCATGTTGGAAGCCAAAGTTGTGTCCAAACATAGTTCATAATGGAGCACAGAAGCTGACATCATGAAAGATGGTCTTTGGTTTCTACCTAACTGACTTGTTTACTTGACCGTTTCGCCGATGATTGGTTTCTAGAAAAACAGATTGCAAACACTAACTGGAAGCTAAGAGGGTAAAGTCCTGTCTGAGAACATGAAACCTGAACTCTAGAAACAAGAGTGCACTCAGAGCATAGGCTCCACATTCAGTGAAGGCAACATCCACAGATATAATAGCTGCAGTGCAAGGTACATAGAATCATTTTAGATGCTGCCTTGAAATATAGTTTCACTTCAAGGTTTTTAAAGCACCCCCATAAAGAATGGGTGAAGGGTAAGTCAGCTTGGTTGAAGTGCCACAGCTCTGAACCTCTTACCAGTGGAAAGGGCCTAACTGACCTCAACTTACTTCACAGGGTTGTTGCTATGCAGAAAAATAGAGGGAGGGAATGCTGTGTATGCCACCGTGAGCACTGTTTGAAACCTAGTAACTAAAATAAATAGCTGAGTGCTCAAGCACAATGCATCCCGCTGCTTTCATTGCGGTGCATGCTCTGCCTCTTTGGAGCATTCAGGGAATGTCATAGCACATGTAGAAAAGAGGCAGAGCTTCCACCACAGCTTTATCAGTTTGACCCTTGCCTTGGCCCCTGCCAACAGTCACCACTGCTCAAGAAGTATCTCTGAGGCAGAACTCAGACAAGAGGCAGGATTGGAAGCAGTTTTCAAATAATCTGCTTTAAAACATTAAAGTTTGTGTTCCACAACGTAAGGCCCAGCGATGCACATGCACACCATGGATGCATTCCAGAGCCTCTCCCACAATTACCACCAAATTGTATTTTTAATACTAAAAAGGGAAAAGTGTTTAATTGGTAGTCAGAAATCCTTTCAATGTATTCATTCACTTGATGTTTGCTTACATCAGGTTTTATTTTGGCCTTGGCTAAAAGCCACGTTTTAAAGGTTCAAAACAGACAGGTCAATTGAGTTTCAAATCATATGGGCAGCCATTGTGACTGGCACAAAATTGGACTTTAATTTTCAAACATTCTGCTTAAACCACAATCAGACCAGACCAGCTAAATTTCTAACAGCTGTAGGTCCTAGATCATCTAAAGCATCCCTGCTCTATTAAGTGTACCCAAGTATTCCAGTTTTGTGAAGATTCATATATGGAGTATATGAATGTACTGATCCAGCTACTGCAGGGAGTGCTGTGAGTAGCATATGGTAGCGACATCAGTCATTATATGTAATCCTGTCAGACTT